AAACCCTAAACCCTGAACCCTACACCCTAAACCCTAAACCCTAAACCCTAAACCCCAAACCCCTAAACACCGACTTGAAGGTTCATGGGTAGCTGGAAGTAGCAGCCTGTATTGTAACCTTAGTCTACGATGTGCTTAAGAACAAGTCATGGTTTAGGGTTTAGGGTTTAGGGTTTAGGGTTTAGGGTTTAGGGTTTAGGGTTTAGGGTTTAGGGTTTAGGGTTTAGGGTTTAGGGTTTAGGGTTTAGGGTTTAGGGTTTAGGGTTTAGGGGAGAACAAATCATAATCCCTATACTGCCATGATAAAGAAGAAAAAACATCACTTTCTTTTGGGGGGGCGGGGGTCTGAAGCAATGAGTCGAACAGGCAACACCACCCTCATGCTGAAGTGGTTCCTGATGTCTTGTTGGGGGGGGCAGGGTTTGGTTTAGGTCTTAGGGTTTTCGGTTCTTAGGATGGGGTGGATGTCATGCGAGGTAGGTAGGAAATGACGACGAAGTAGCAACTAGCTCAATAATTCTTTGGGGTAGAGGCCTCGAGCCTGCAATGCAATTTAGGGTTCTGGGCTTGAAGATTTACAGGGTTTAGAATATAACCCAAGGTTCCATGGTACTCCCCACTACTCCAGAAGACTCCCTAAGCTTCCTTAAGGTTCTCCAGGTACCTACCCCACATGCACCCCCCCGTCCCTTAAGAACTCTTGAACTGAGGTTTGAGGGTTGAAAGAAACCCTGCAGAAACCCATAGCCTAGGGCCAGGCAAACAATCCTAAACCCTAAACCCTAAACCCTAAACAATCTGAAGGACATGCCGCCAAGATACATCCTCTAAGAGGATTCCGCGCTTTGGCGGGGGCAGATCCTTCGAGTTCTTCGCCAGCTTGGCGGCTCTCTCCCCTGGTGCAGTTTGTTTAGGGGTTTAGGGTTTAGGGTTTACTCGGCGCTATCTCGGAGTCTGAGCAGCTGAGCGCGACTGCACTGTGAAACAGCACATCATCGGGACCATTCCCCAGCAGTAGTAGCACTACTGAGCGGCATCCCAATTCACCAGCCGATCCGACAGGGTTTAGGGTTTAGGGTTTAGGGTTCTCTCCCCTGCGCTGCACTTGAAGGATTAGCAGAACGGACCGCCGCCCTTCGGTGGCGTGGTTTGCGTAGTTCATTTTAGGGTTTATAGCTTAGGGCTTAAGGTCTGGGGTTTCGGGATAAATGGTTTAGGGTCAGGACAACCTCACGCAATGAACTTGGCTGACGAAACTGATCGATGCCCGGCCCAAGAAGAGTTCTCTGCCAACACCCCCGCTTGGTGTGTGCGGGTAGGCATGGATCTATCAGAGGTTATGGACGATCCTGCTCCAAGGCAACATGTTGGGAGCTTCAAGAAGCTTTAGATGGAAGGGTTTGAGGATCAGGGTATACTCCTTGGAGTTGTAATACCAAAAGAGGTCTAAACCCCTAAGCCCTAAACCCTAAACCCTAAGCTTTGGACAAGTTCGGGAGGGTTCCCTTTGAAGGAGCTTGGGGCAGCTCAAGCTTGGGGATTGGGCCTCTTATTCTTCGGGCTTTGGTTTTAGGGACCCTCTTCCCTAAACCCTAAACCCTAAAAAAACCCTAAACCCTCTCTCTCTCTCTCTCACAGGCCCTAAACCCTAAACCCTAAACCCTAAACCCTAAACCCTAAACCCTAACCCCAAACCCTAAACCGTTCCGGCTTGGGGCTTTGAGCCTCGGCAGAGCTGCAAACATCATGCTTGAGAGTCTGGACCCCCTTACCTTGGGATGTTCCCCCCTATCCTAACAGTCCTTGAAGGCTACTTGAAGGGATAAAAAAAGGGGTTTAGGGTTTAGGGTCCCCATAAAGCACTGCTAGTATAAGGGGGAACGCCTCAAACTATACCTGTTGTTTAGCTGACGGGAGGACTTCGCTTCCCAGACATCCCTGCTCGGATTACGGGCGCCTGGCGTTGCCTGACCGGCGAGTCGGCTGCTCAGCCTGTCGCAAATGCCGTGCCCTCAACGCATCGAACTTCATACAAGGGTTTAGGATTTAGGGTTGAGGGTTTAGGGTTTACAAGCACTTCACCAAAGCAACGACTGTCTGGGGGAATCTCGGAGAGGCTCGGAGAGGCTCATTAGGCCCACTATCGTGGTTTTGTGTCTTCGGAGGTGACTGGACTGCACACCCAAGAAGAATTTGACAGGATGGCCGCTCACGCATTGCTCGCAGAGCCGACAAAACACCTAACGAGGCAAGACCGCCCCCCCCCCCCCAAAAAAAAACAATAGAATCCCTTTTTGAGCCGGAAACAAAAACCCTGTTGAACCCTCAAAACGCGAGTAAACCCTGTAAACCCTGCAACCCTTAGAAATCCCCACACACCTGATATAGAACCCTATCAAACCCCCAGAAATCCTGCAAGGAAACCTACACACAACAAAAAAAACAAAGCACCTCTAACAACCCGGTACAAAACCCTCGAAAACCCTCTAAACCTCCCCAAACCCTAAACCCTAAACCCTAAACCCTAAACCCCAAAACCCTAAACCCTAAAACCTAAGCCCTAAACCCCAAAACCCTAAACCCTAAACCCTAAACCCTAAACCCTAAACCCTAACGTGCGACCTTGGGAGGGCCGATCTCGATCCCAGCACGAAGGCGGCTTGAAGCACCTTTGGGAGCTGGGTTTAGGGTTTAGGGTTTAGGCTTACTAGGGTTTAGGGTTTGGGGTTTAGGGTTTAGGCTTACTAGGGTTTAGGGTTTAGGGTTTAGGCTTGCTAGGGTTTAGGGTTTAGGGGGTGTGCCCTGGCTTTATGTCAACCTCGGCCCTGAGTGTCCTTGCTTCCTGTACCACATGAACACCCGGCAACACTTGAACATCACAGGCTCATGAGAGGTCAGGGGATGCCAATCTGGCCTTTGAGCTGCGAAGATTCGGCGTCCATGGGCACATTTGCCCTTCTAGGATGATCCTGTGGCCTTGTACCTTTCAAGCACTGGAGACTTGACAACCGAGCCCAATTAGACCCTCGATTCGCAGAGCGCCGCAACACCCGACCTTGAGCCCTTGAACCCCAACAATCTATATGGTCGCCTCCCCCCCCCCCTCCCCGTCCCCAACTCCCCCCCCCCCTCCCCCCTCGCCCTGCCCTTTCTGCCCTAACCAGCCAAAGCCTAATAACCTTAACCCTGAACTCTAAAACGCCTAATAACCCTTCACCCTAAACTCCTAGTAGCCGTAAACCCTCCCTTTCATTCAATCCTCACCTCATAAACCCTTCTGGTCCTCGCCTGGATGATGCCGTCACCACCCTAAACCCTAAACCTAAACCCTGGACCCTAGACCCTAAACCCCAAAACCCTAAACCCTAGACCCTAGACCCTAAACCCTAAACCCCACGGTGCCTGGACCGATCCCAGAGCCGCCAGCAACGCAGCCAACGCTGCCCCGGGTCTAAGCGCTCGGCGTTTTCCAAGCATTGCAATGTAGGGTTTAGGGTTTAGGGTTTAGGGTTTAGGGTTTGGGGTTTAGGGTTTGGGGTTTAGGGTTTGGGGTTTGGGGCGTAGGGCTTGCGGTTTGGGGCATGTAGGGTTGAGGCTTTAGGGATTAGAGGGTTTAGAGGGTTGACAGGGTCTAGAGGGTTGAGGGTTTTATGCTGCAGGGTTATTTATAGGGTTTAGGGGAGTTTCGGGCTTAGAGGGCTTAGAGGGCTTAGAGGGCTTAGGGGCTTAGGGGTTTAGGGGTTTAGAGGTTTTGGGCTGAGAGGGCTTAGGGTACAAGGCTTATGGTGGGTTTTGTGTTCTAAGTTGAGGGTCTAATGGGGCTTAGGGCCAGCGTAATCCCTGTGTTGAGTTTAGGGTTTAGGGTTTAGGGTTTAGGGTTTAGGGTTTAGGGTTTAGGGTTTAGGGTTTAAGGTTTAGGGTTTAGGGTTTAGAGTTTAGGGTTTAGGGTTTAGGGCTGGGCTATTTTGGAGGAATCGTTTAACTCAATGCAGCGTCGTGCTTTTGAAGCCTCTACGAGTGATGGGTGAGGAAAGATCTTTTCGAGCACCCGGGCGCCACGTTTTTGTTACGGTTTTGGGTTTGGTTGACCGTGGTGACGGCATCATAGAACCGGATTGCCGGAGCTTGCTTGCTTCTGTGTTCGAGTGTTTCGGGGTTGCGGCTGGCACAGCCACTTGAGAAATCAGCCGCCGCGGTTCAGGACAATCGCTAGTATGTCCCAATCCTATGTGAACCCTCTAAGAGTGTGTATGTATGTATATACATATATATATATGTGCGTGTATATGTACATATATACATGTGTACCCCATTCATACTGATTATGTCCTAGTAGTTCTTAAGTACATCCTAAAGACTATACCCTAAAATCCTGGACCCTCATGATACCTTAATTTCCTAGATGTACCTTCACCATAATCATACCCTATGCAATATACAGATGTACAGCCAAAGTACTAGCATGTGGACCACTGACGCTGCAAGCGCCGCGGCTGCTGCGCCGCAGCCGCCCCGAGCTAGAGTCCAAAACCTCGAAGCCTCCATATAAAAACCTTTAATGGGCTTAGGTTTAGGGTTTAGGGTTTATAGGGTTGATCGGGTTTTAGGGTTTAGGGCTTATACGGTTTAGGGTTTTTAGGGTTTATAGGGTTTATACGGTTTAGGGTTTTTAGGGTTATAGGGTCTAGGGGTCTACTTTTAGGGTTTAAGGCTTCGGGTTGGGATCATTCCTATTTCGGACTAAGGGGGAACATCCCAAGTTTCGGCGGCTTACATAATAGGGGGTGTAGGGTGTTTAGGGTTTAAGGGCTTCGAGGTCTCGGTGTCACCACAAGCTTTGCACCCCAAAAAGCAAAAGGACCTTCACTCCAAGCCGTACCCACCGGCGTAAGGTGCGGGCATGTCTTCGGCCCTAGGATTCCTGCCAAGTCAACTTCCGAATTCAGGAAAGACCTTTAAACTACCCCAAGCCCCAAACCCCAAACCCCTAACCCTAAACCCTAAACCTCCCTGGGAAGTCTAGGGTTCGTTGCAGCTCCGGGAAGTTCGGCACGTCGGCGCACGACTTTTTGAGGATCCTCCGCCATGTTCACATGCATCTGGCCACAGCTCGCCATGGTCAAGTTGGCCCAGGAGGTCATCTTGGTCAGGTTTGTAGTCTTGCTCAGGGAGTGCTCGAGCCTCGGTGGCCCAGTAGCCTTACGATAAATCAGGGCACCCCTTTTTGGGGTTGGCTACTGTATAAGGGAACCTTGAACCCAAAAAAAGGGTAGAGGGTACCACTGGGCTAGCAAGGAGCTCTAGTGGCACCGGGCGCCATGGACAGCAGGTATGCCGAGGGCATTGGGCGCACGCCCGAGCAGTGTGAGCCACCGCAGTCGTCGGCTCGCTCCTGAATTGGCTGGATTTCCTGGGGCTGCTCGCGAGATGAGATCGACTTGGCAAATTTAGTAGTCGTCTGCTTGGGATGAACGCCGTATATACCGCCATATTTTGAAGTGAATGAAACATATTCCCAGTACAGAGCGTCCCAAGATTCAACAGCTGTGAGAGGAACAGGTGACCAAGCGTGTCGGCAACGATGCCAAAAACCTTCCGCCCCGGCCATGGCGAAAGGTCGTATCGATGCCAGTGCTGAGAAGCGGTCTTGCTGATCATGTCAGTTTCCCCATCAAAGAACATAGGCAGCGCCATTGGTGCTGGGTCGACCATGAATATCTTGCTTTTACATGCAAGACGTATGTCGCTTGGCCAAGACTGCAGGAGCCTCGCGAGGGAAAGCTTCGCGAGCCGCTGGCGCTCCCAGCTGATGGCACACTTTGACGTACAGATTTGGGTATGAAAGGGGCTCACAGGCCCGAGGCAGAGGACTACCTTGCCTCGGAATTTGGGGAGAAGTTCGCGGAAGATTGGCCCCCAGCAGAACTGCATCTCGGCGTCCAGTGATGACGCGTCCCCTCGAAGATTCTGGTTCCAACCCAGCCTTGGTAGCCCAGCAACCACGCAATAAGGGCACCCTTGTTTTGGGGTTGGTTACTTTTCAGGGAACCTTGAACCCCAAAAAAGGGCAAACAAGCGTACCACTGGGCCACCAAGCAGCTCGATGACCAGAATGCCTGGCTGGTCCTCCTCCAGCGTCTTCCGGATACGCGCGGCGGCCGCTTCACGATGAGATTTCCTTCGGCTCCAGAAAACCGTCACTGAAACAGCCTGACACTTACATAGGAAATCCGCCAATCCTAAAACCTAAACCCTAAACCTTAAACCCTAAACCCTCATGAAGGCAAGATTCTGATAGCTTGGCAGCCGCCAGTCCCAGAAGGCTAAATGCAAGCCTGCTACTTCGTACCTTGGGGATCGTGGCACCTACGCCCTAAGAACGCCAGCTTGGGATCCATACTGGGTTTAGGGTTTAGGGTTTGCCGGACAGCATAGACAACTCTGCTACGTGGCCCTGCATGGAACTCCAGCCAGCCCCAGCACTTCACCGTCGTACCCTCGCCGGGAATGCTCGGCACTCCGGCGAAAGATTCCTTCATAGCCCAGCAACCATATTACAATAAGGGCACCCTTTTTGGGGGTGGCTACTTTATAAGGGAACCCATAACAAAAAAAAAAGGTAAAGGGTACCACTGGGCTACCAAGTTTATACCAAGATTCCCAGGCCTTCGGCACCAGGGCATCGATCAAAGATTGCAGGGTGCCACGAAGCACAGAGCTCCCAGCTACCACAATCGAAAGGCGCTTGGAAGCTGCCCGAGCCAGAGAATGTATGTCCTGAGCACCTGGGTACATATTATCATAAGGATACCCTTTTTGGGGTGAGTAAGTTGTTTATAGGGGAACCTTAAACCAACAAAAGGGGAAAGGGGTACCACTGGGCCACCAAGGCACTGCAAGTCTTCCAGAAGCACGTCCTCGACACAAATGTCCAGCCATCCCTTGAACATCCCAAACGACAGTTGGAGCTGTTCCCGGAGTTTGAAGCCTTTGCACTTCGAACCCAGCGTCCCCTGAGCGCGTCCACCCCGAGTTCGCAGGCGCGCGTTGGGAAGGGGTCTTCCGTGGACGTAGACGCAGCACTCTGAACGCCCTGAACACCCCGCACCACCTGCAGAGTCTGCGGGCTTCCGTGCACGGTTTCGATGAGGAAGGCCCGCGGGTTTGACCGGTTGGCATACGGTGAGGGTGTGACCGCCAGGAAGTGGACCAGATAGACGCCGGCGTCTGTGATGTTCAAGGAAAAATCCCAACTCATAACTCTGGGAATTCCCCTCCGGAAGTTCTGCAATTCAGGCACCCCTGCCTCGGCAGTGAGCAGGGTGTCGTCAACAGAGCGGAGCCACGCAAACACGAACGGCGCATTTCCAACATCCACAGCAGGAGAGTGGCGGACCTTAGCCTTAACAACATCATCAACGGCCACGTGGAGAGTGCCGTTCGTGGGCCAAAGGAGTTGGAGATCCATCCGGACGCTCAAGTTCGATGGCTGCCAGACAGGCAATGCCTCTGTGAAAGGGCAGTGATGACAATGCAGCTGGCCTCGGTAGCCCAGAAACCATATTGCAATAAGGGCACCCTTTTTTTGGGGTTGGTTACTTTATAAGGGAGCCTTGAACCAAAAAAATGGGGAAAAGGGCACCACTTGCCTGCCAAGCTGCTCAGGCTCTCCATTCCCACCTGCCTGTGAGAAGCGCCTCCTCGAGACACTCCAAAGCCGGATGTCCCCTTCCAACGAACTCGGCACTGCCATGTCGCCACGAGGGTAAGGCAAACGGCCCCGACGCAGCACGCCCAACCGGCCAATCGTCCAGCCCACATCGCCACTCGCAGCTTTCATGGGTAAGCTACTTCGTTCCGGCAGGGGTCAACAGGGACAACCTGCCCAAGTCTGCAAGAGTCGAAGTGGCATCTGGCATGCTCACTCCAGCCAGAGCTCCCGACGGCTCCCGACACCTGAACACCCAAGACCAGAGATCTCACATCCCGGCATCCCGGATGAAGGCATTGCGGGGTTCGGACAAAGCGAAACACGCTTGGGTTTAGGGTTTAGGGTTTAGGGTTTAGCTTCCGGGTTTATAGGGCCTATAAGGTGCCAGGGTAGTTTGGCAAAAGTGCTAACTGCGCCGGCGTGCTTCCTTCACAGCACATGCAACATGACCTGGTAGCCCAGAAACCATACTGCAACAAGGGCACCAATTTTTGGGATAGTTTCTCTATAAGGGAACCTTGAGCCAAGAAAACGGGTAAAGGGTACCACTGGGCTACCAAGATGATGTTGTAAGTTGTAGGACTGCTTCACTTCAGTGTGCGTCTCTATCATTTTCTACAGACATTGTGCGATTGCTTTTCTTCAGTATGTGTGTTCTGTCTTAAAACGTACGGCCATGACAAAAACTACTTTTGCCATGGCGCAGTCTCATCATCCGCCTTGAGGGCAAGCCGAGGACGACAAAAGCAAATGGGCTTAGGGTTTAGGGTTTAGGGTTTAGGGCTAGCATCCTAATTTTGTTGCCACCAGGACTGCTCTAACTGTTGTGTCACTCGTTGCATAGTGAAGTCCTCTAAACACTCAAGGAGCACAATTGGTGAAGACTTTCGTACACTCCTCAGCCAACCAACCCCACATAACTGCATGCGCCTCATACACTTGCCTGGAAACATGTATCATGAACACCCAAGCATCACTCTGCATACACACACAAGTCGCAAAAGTCGGTAGGCACTCAAAGTTACTGTTCAAAGCCCTCGCACTCGTCATTCCAAATAAGTGAGACTCAACCGAAGCCATCGAGCACGGAAAGAGGCAAGGAACCAGTTGCAGAACCGAAACACAAAACCCCTCAACCACCCCTAAATCCCTCTTGGAATCCATATTTGGGTGTGCGCTGACATGGGCACGCGCTGCCTATTGAACCCACCAAACCCTCAGACCCTAAACCCAAACCCTGAACATCCCTGTTGGGAGCCCTGTTGCAATGCGGGCCCTTGCATGGGGTTTAGGACTTAGGGTCCCTAAACCCTAAACCCTAAACCCTAAACCCTAAGCCCTAAACCCTAAACCCTAAACCCTAAACCCTAAACCCTAAACCCTAAACCCTAAACCCTAAACCCTACCCTAAACCCTAAACCCCAGCATGCATAGCTCGGCAGATCGGCCTTCTTTTACCCGCGAAGCATCACTACTGCCATGCCTCCGGGCCTGCAGAAGCAGTTGCCCACAGTATTTCTGCCCTTCTGCCCCGTCTCCCTGGAGGCTCATCCTAAACCCTAAACCCTAAGCCCTTTGCAACTGGACTCCTTGCTGCCAGGGCCCTAAGCCCTAAACCCTAAATCCTAAACCCTAAACCCAAGCACTTGCGGCTTAGATTGCACAAGGCCTAGGCTTCTTGGCGTTGGGAGACGCATGGCGTGTACTATGTGTGCTTTCATGGAGCTTTTTTGGCTGAGGTTGGGGTTTAGGGGCATTTCAGGAAAACCCAGCTCTGCAGATCCACCTAAACCCTAAACCCTAAACCCTAAACCCTAAACTTCAAGCCTCGACTTACAGCCCAGCCTTTTTTGGGAACCTGCGCTGCTGACGCCAACCAAACTGCTTTGAGCATCGGTATCATGGCTTCGCTGGGGTGGTTCACTTTCCTCAAGGTCCAAGGCCGGGGTTGGCAAGGGGTTTTAGATTTTTAAGGTTTATGGGGTTTAGGGTCACCGGTTGGGGTGTGGGAATGTGTGGGACATCCATCGGAACTCGTTTCGCCAACGCACGCTCCTCCAGGGTATGAGGGCGAGAGATGGAGCCTGTAGGGAGGCATGCGGTATGACTTGTGCACGGCCACGAGCACTCCAAGATGATGTATCTGTTCAAACTTTTCAAAGCACTCCCACTCCGAAAATCTGACGGCCCAATCCTCTAAGCCCAGACTTGTTCCACGTTGCAGCTTCTGACATGGAGGGCACAATTTTTGGCCGCTCAGCTTCTGAACAAATGTATAGACCAATAGTTACACCACCGTTCTGTCTTTGTGGTTCCGGACCGGCTCAGCTGCATGTATCCTTGCTTGAGAGGCTTAGTCTTGCTTGCATCCCTTCTTCAGAAGCTTGCTGCTGTTCCGAGGCGTCCGCTGCTAAAAGCGCTTTCTTCTTCCACCTCTGGATAGAACCTTGCAAGGCAGGGCCATCATGTGCCCAAGCAGTGCCTGCAGGATACATTCAAAAAGCGCACTCGCACTGGTTCTTAATCTGAACAGCCGGGTGGTGGGCCGAGTATCCTCAACAGCAAGATCCCAGGGAGACAAATACAGAATAGAGTTGGGCTCATACGGGTTAGTAATTATTCTATAGTGTTGTTTGCCGGGAAGGGTTAGACTTGCAAGAGCTTCTTACAATGCGAAAATGTCGGAAGGGGATCAGAGCTGTAGGCCTCAGGACAATAGAACCAGAGAGACCCTAATTTGGCCACTTTGTGGCGTCCAACTAAACAGGGCGTGTCAGTTGATCCAGCTTGCCTCAGTCTGTGTCGATTGCGCCTTGTGGCCCGGAGTGGGTTTAGGGCTTAGGGTGAACCCTGAACTCTGAGCGCTGTTGGTCTAAGCCATGGTATAGGCTTCTGTAGTGGCCAGCATGGATCCAAGTGAGATGCCCTCCAGGCAAATAAAATCAAGCGGGGGATCCCTTGCGGGAGCTGCCCAACATCTGCCCGATAGAAGAAAGGCTGCTCGCTGCTGACTTGTCTGTCCGGCTGGAGGACCAGCACATTGAGGTGGCGCTGTCACCCAGGGTAAGGATTCTACACTGCCCTCTGTGGTAACCGTTTGCGGATTCTGTTCGATTCGTGTCTACTCAAGTGCCCCACTACGTCTGCTGGAATGCAAAATCGGCTTGTCTAGGCAGGTTTGTGACAAGATACTATTGGTCCAGCAGCCACCAGGCTGAAAGCATGGAAAAAACGCAGCCAGTGGAGCGTGCTTGCTCTCTACAAGCAAGCAGTGGGCGTTGCAAGAGCAGCGTGAAACTCGTGGTACTGTGATGCAGTCAGCCCTGCACAGTGCTATGGCCGCGCGGCATGGAAACGCCACGGATGGCGCCAAAGCTCTGTTGATGGTTAAACGGGTCTGCAAGTTCAAAAGAACGTGAATTCAAGTAGTGGCACATGTGAGCTCAAGCCGCAAACCGCCGAGTCATGCCCCCAGTAATTACAGCCGAGTCAAGAAGTGATAAGTCCTTGAGAAACCTTCGGGTTTAGGTTTTGAGTTTAAGGCTTACAGTCGGGTATCTATAAAGGCTCGAACCCCTAAACCTTAAACCCTAAACCCTAAACCCTTTTACAGCGAGTTAACCCGAAACCCTAAACCCTTGGGCTTTAAGCATGCATCTTTGGTGTCAAGCATCGAAGCCTTAAAGTTCGAGAAGCCCCCATGCCCTCTTATATATATATATATGTAGAATATATACATGCATGGGTATGTATATATATATATATGCACGAGCATAGATAGATGGATACATACGTACATATGTATAATGTGTATGTATATATAAATATGTATACAGACAGATGTATACATATACTGCGTATTGAACATGGCTGCAGTACACGTATGCCATGTATACGATGTGCAAATACACATGGGATGCCGACACTTGGCTCTCGTCACCCGGCTGAGAGCTTCACATGTGGGTCTCTGTAATGGTGGCCTTGGAGCCCACGCTTTCCACGGATGTCACGCCATCGAAGTCAGAATTGTCTTCCGATTCCTTCATGGCCAGGGGTGGCTATGATAATCTTTCTGGGAGGAAACTGTTCGTTCTCTTGCCTGCTGTGTTTTTTCTTCTTTTTTCTCTCTCTCCTCTCTCTCGCAGTCAAATACACACATTTGCCCTTTCTAGTCCATCGCCTCAGGCCCCTCAGGTTCCCTTCTCCCTCGCGATTAAACTGGTGAACTCGGAACAGGTCAGGAACTTGCAGACAATCCAGGCGCTACAAGAATCCCTTCCAGCATCCTGATCAGAGCTGTAGCTTAAGCTGCCCGGCTTCAACTCTTCAGGCCAAGGACACACTGGAAAGGCTTCGGATTTAGCAATTTAGGTTCAGGGTTCAGGGTTCAGGGTTTAGGGTTTGGGGTTTAGGGTTTCGGGAGAGTTGCACCAGGCCTCCACTGACACTTCAGGAATTCGCATTGTCTTCGGCGATTTCCTGAGAAAACCACCAGGTGCACAGCCAGCTGGCATTCACACGGCCAAAAGGTGTCCTAGACGATGCCACCCTAAACCCTAAACTCTAAACCCTAAATTAAACCCTAAACCCTAAACCCCATGCTCGCTGAGACAGCATGCCCGGAATGCTGCAAGAAGAAGGCATCAATGTACAAGGCTTCCGGTGCGAAAGCCCTCCACAATTTCGAGGTCCGGGATGAGAGCTCCATAGGGGGATTTCTGACTTTAGAGGTACTCTATTGGGGGTCCTTATTAAAGGAGATCCTACTACTTGGGGGTCTATATTAGGGGCCCCTCATTTTCGTAAAACCCCATAGGATTATGTAGTAAGGTGTTTCTGGAGCCGCCCATAGCTGGACGAACCACTCAGCAGGGCTTGATTAGGCTTTAGGGCCTGCAGCAAAACCCTTACAAACCTTTCATGTGATCTGCAGCAACAAAAGGTAAACCTCTCATGTCCGTCATCCAGGTTGCGTGGCTCTCCGCGTCAGAGACCGCACGAACCGCACCTGTAGTGGCGATGTGCCATTCGAGGAGATGCGAGTTCTGAGAGCTTTTAGGGTTAATTTGCTTAGGGCCACATGTAGCCCTGATCCGTACGGGAACATTCCTGTCCCCGGCTAGGACCCGGTCGGTCGTCCAGGGCACATGTCAGCTCTCGATTGTCCTTAAGAAACTGTAAATATGTTGAAAAGAAACGCATACCAAGAGAAAAGGTATCTTTGACACAGCAAACATATCAATGGTTGATGCTAACTGTGAAGCCCCCTGGCTGAAACCTTGAAGTTGGTCTTTTCGATTTGCCCACTGGAGAATATCAGCCTTAGGGTCATCTTACTTCCCAAGTTCCAAGGGGGGTAAGCTGTTCAAACTTTCAGAATAAGACTACCTTAGAAGAGGCCAAACCGTTGAAGAGTTGGGTTTTTTTGAGGCCACGGGCTCACTGCCACCTTGTATGCGATGTTGTACAGCGTCTTCTTGTTGGAGCGGATGAGCTTCTGCTCTTCCTCCAAGTGGCGCAGCCAAGAAATCACGGAGCGCTGAGTCTCCACGGCCGAAGGTTTCAGTGAAGTGAGCCCAAAGACCAGCCTAGCCCCAAACCTCAAACCCTAAAAACCCTATAAGCCCTAAACCGCAAACCCACCCTGCACCTTAAGCAAGGAATCCGCAACTCGCGAAATCTACTGTAGGCCCCGCGACCCTTGGCAATCCCGCCTTGCCATGGCCAAAGCACGGGCAATGGACTGCGAACAACACCTTGCAAAAAAAGCGGGCTCCGTACCAGCCGTGACATGCATGTAAAGACATGCGATCGCATGTTCAGTCCGAGCGCCAAAAGTGTCTTCGGAAACTCCGCCTGACTTGTGGGCAACTTTTTCAGCCAGGGAGGTTCATTAAGATGTACGACGACCACGACGACGACGACCACGACGACGAGGACGAGGACGAGGACGAGGACGAGGACAAGGACGAGGACGAGGACGACGACGACGACGACTACGACGACGACTACTACTACTACTACTACTACTACTACTACTACTACTACTACTACTACTACTACTACTACTACTACTACTACTACTCCTGCTACTACTACTACTACTACTACTACTACTACTACTACTACTACTACTACTACTACTACTACTACTACTACTACTACTACTACTACTACTACTACTACTACTACTACTACTACTGCTACTGCTACTGCTACTGCTACTGCTACTGCTACTGCTACTGCTACTGCTACTGCTACTGCTACTGCTACTGCTACTGCTACGGCTACGTACTGCTACTGATACTTCTACTACCACTACCACTACCACGACCACTACCAATACCACGAGCACGATCACTAACTACCACCACCACAAGGTCAGCCGTCTGGCGTGATTCCACCACAGCAGATGTCACAAACCAGCCTGCAAACTGCACCACATCGCGAGAACCCAAACCGACTCCAGCCGTTTCTTTTATCGTAGAGCTCTTGAATCATGAAACTCATGAGTTTCGAGCGCAAACTTAAGGGCCTATACTATTCATAGCGCAATGCATATTTCTTCGGAGGAAATCTGCCCTAAACCCTAAACCCTTGAACCCTTGAACCCTTAAACCCTTAAACCCTTAAACCCTTAAACCCTTAAACCCTTAAACCCTAAACCCTAAACCCGGCCGGTGCCCACCGAGGCGCTGCGAGCTGTAGCGTGGCGGTGGCTGTGAGACCCGCGACGGCCCAAGCCTCGCCCCTGGAGGCCGGCGCCTGGAGGAGCTCAACCTGCGAAGCTGTTTGTTTTTGGTAGGGTTTAGGGTTTAGGGTTTAGGGTTTAGGGTTTAGGGTTTAGGGTTTAGGGTTTAGGGTTTAGGGTTTAGGGTTTAGGGTTTAGGGTTTAGGGTTTAGGGCTTAGGGCTTAGGGTTTAGGGTTATAGGGCTTGGTGTATAGTTAGGGTTTGGGGGGGGTCTTCTAGGGTTGGGGGGGGGGGGGGGGGGGGGTTGATGGTGTGTAGAGTGGGCTTGTAGGGTTTCGGGTGCTTTTGGGGTTTGGGTGGTTTAGGATTTAGCGGTTTACTATAGGCGGTTTCTTGAGTTGAGGAGAACTCAGGGTTGAGGGGGAAAAAGGCTCCATATTTGCAAGTCTTCATCAGGCTTCATCGATGTGAGCGGAGCCCTAAAAACCTAAAGCCTAAATCCTAAGGCCTAAACCCTCAACCCGAAGACAAGGCACCAAGAAATAGGCCGCGGCGACAGGGCTAACGTGCAGCAGGCTGAAGCAGAAGATCAAGAGCCACCTGCGTCGCTAGGGTCTAGGGGTTAGGGTCAGGGTTTAGGGGAGCTAGCAAACAAGTGGCAAGGCTAGACATAATGACTTGACACAACTGTTCACGTTGCTTGGCTGATGATGTTTGATGACGGTTGTCAGTGATGAAGATGGGAGGAGCCTGATCAGAAATACGACCCTAAACCCTGATCACTAAACCCTAATGTTAGAATCCCATTTTTAATTGGGGTGGTAATACTAAAATTCGCCGGGCCAGAGGGGTCCAGCCGAAGACTACTTTCCATTACGGGAGGTTTTCGGGCCGATGTATGTAAACAAGTCTATTTTGGGGTGTGCGATGATAATAATAAAGGGTGGTAATTATAAAATTCTGCCGGCCTGGAATGGAAAATTTTACTGAGAATCGCTTAAGAGTTCCATTGCAGAGAAGACTTTTCAGCTGAGCTGGCTTGAAAGAGCTCCGAGGCTCAGTCTTTAGAGAAGCAGATCTCGTTTGAGAGTGCTTGTCTTCTGAGATTGCTGCAGCTCCAGAGCTGCGAGAAACTGCTGTTTCAGGGCTGTTTCTTCAGAGAAAGCAGGTATCAGGTGCCTTTTGAGGTTGCTGCAGCTCCCAGAGGCTGAGAAAGAGAGCCTTGCTACGGAGGCCCCTGCTCTCAGAGCAGCACAGAAGCCGGGCAAGACTTACGGCTGCAGCTCCAGAGCTGCGAGAAACTGCTGTTTCAGGGCTGTTTCTTCGCAGAAAGCAGGTATCAGGTGTCTTTTGAGGTTGCTGCAGCTCCCAGAGGCTGAGAAAGAGAGCCTTGCTACGGAGGCCCCTGCTCTCAGAGCAGCACAGAAGCACGGCTGCAGCTCCAGAGCTGCGAGAAACTGCTGTTTCAGAGCTGTTTCTTCAGAGAAAGCAGGTATCAGGTGTCTTTTTGAGATTGCTGCAGCTCCCAGAGGCTGAGAAAGAGAGCCTTGCTACGGAGGCCCCTGCTCTCAGAGCAGCACAGAAGCCGTGAAAGACTTACGGCTGCAGCTCCAGGGCTGCGAGAAACTGCTGTTTCAGGGCTGCTCCTTGAAGCTTAAGACTTCATTCAGCCTTCGTGTCCTGGTCTAAGTCTCGCTTAAGACTTCAGCCTTCGGGTCCTGGAATTCAGGAAACCGGCAAAGGTCTGAAAGCTAGGTTTCCTTACTAAAATCCTTATCCGCCGGAGCTCGAAAACAAGTCCGGCAAGGGTACCCCTTACGGGCCTCCAAAAATGACAATAATAAAGGGTGGCAATAATAAATTCGGCGAGGGAGGGGGGGGAACCAAGAAGCCTTAAGTTTAAATGGCTTCCTGTAATTAAGTCTCAAGACAGGAGTCCCTTAAGATTAAGACTTCAGCCTTCGGGCCCTGGTCTAAGTCTCAAGACAAGAACCCCTGAAGCTTAAGACTTCAGCCTTCGGATCCTGGAATTCAGGAAACCGCCAGAGATCTGAGAGCAGGGTTTCCTTACCTAGAACCTCTTCAACAGATTGAGCTTCATCTCTCAAGCAAGAAGCACACAGAGAAGCTAAGCTGCCTCCAGACTGGTCTGCTGGGTCTGCTCTGACAGATGACCCCCCCCCAGACCCCCCCCCAGACCCCCAGAATTCATTATTGGCACCCCGTCTTTTTTTCCACCCCTCCAAACCCCGGGGACCAAAACAAGATTTGGGGGGGGGGGGGGGGGGTTTATTAAAGGGACCCTAACATTAAACGCTAAACGACACAGGGATGATCCCAAATGCAACTGCAGGGTACAAAGACGCAGCAACGGCCAGGGTCCAGGGTTTTTGTTGCCACCCGACCAGCCGCAGCACTGCGGGGAGGGTTTAGGGTTTAGAGTTGGGGGTTAGGGTTTAGGGTTTCTGCCGGGCGTCTCCAGGGTGCCGTGCAAATCGAGGCAGCGCTGCGTGAGCCAGACCTGCAAGGACTCTGCTCGCAAACGCCCCTCAGAAGAACCAAACTGAAAAAACCACAAGGTCTTAGGGCCTGAAAATCCTAGCCCCAAAAAGGTTCTAACCTTGTATTTGTAATAGGATCTTAGTTAACCAAAAAGGTCCTAAGGTGAAGTACCCAGCCCCTATGACATCATGAAACGATCGAGGGCCGCAGCCCCAACTAAGCCAAGGGGCCAGGAAGGTCGCGCAAACCAGCGAGGAGGTGGCAAATATCAGCAGTCCTGTGGCGCTCAGGCCGAAAAGCGACGTGTTTGGTTTAGGGTTAAGGGTTAAGGGTTTAGGGTTCAGGGTATAAACCCTCAGTACGCCAAAAGTAGCCCCAAAAGAAATAAACATCCCTTCTTGCAACATGCACGAAACATCCCTGTCTTGACCAAGAAACCGCAAAGCCGACATTTCCCCCACGTGTCGCAACTCGCAACCTCTCCGAAACGCGAGCCCCCCCCCCCCCCCCCCCCCCCGCAATGTTGCAGCCTGTGGCATACATGGCCATGGGCAGCGGCTCAGGATACAGCAGCGGCGCGACGGCCAAATAGTCCACGATGTTGGTCATCAAGGGCATGAGGATCCTAGGAGAGCAACCTATAAACCCCACAACACCCTGTTAAACCGTACAAACCCCACTAACCCTGTAAGCCCTAAAAAAGTCGGGGGGGGGGGGGGGGGGGGGGGGGGGGGGAGGGGCCACAGTTGGGGGCGCAGCAGCTCTCGGGACCATGCTCCTCTTGACCCTAGACCCCTTTTTTGAGGAGAGGCAAGTGCTCTCAGTTGCATCTTAAGGTCTCAAAACCTCAAGTGAAGGGCAAGATAAAGGTTTAAGAAGACCCCAGGGACTTCAAAAGCCAAGGCACACAAACAGATACCGTAGTGGTATTCCCCAGCCTGCAAGCAGGAGGACAAGGCACAGGGGTTCCATGGGGTCATGAAAAAGTGTTCTAGGCTTCTAAACAACAGGAAAGGTTTTTCAGTATGATATGGGGTGCACCTTGATTCGACCTAGTAAAGAACCGACTGACTGATGCCGAGCCGAATACATGTTCGAACGCATAATGTCGATGGGATCTATAGTCATGAACAGATGGGGGTCCTAACTCAAATGTATGAAAATATTGTTTATTCAACAAAGCTGGTGTTGATACTCACTGGGGACCCTACACAAATTCTATAAACCCTAGACCCCCAAACCCCAAACCCTAGAGCAAGAGCAAGTTTCGCCTGAACTTAAGTTCTGAGGGTCTGAGGTCTCAAGCAAGTGCTACAACAAAAGTGAGACCAGAGATGATGGCTTACAGACCCGACTAGAGTCGACCTTCCCCAAACCTCCGAGCCTCCCAAGGACTTGGTCACGGCAATGGGTACCTCTGTCTTCACCAGCTCATTGAAGGCCATCAACGCATCCTCTCTGGCGGGTTTCGGGTTTAGGGCAAAGGGCTTAGGGAGAAGGTGTTCGGTTGCTACTATTTGCTTCAGATCCACACAAAAAAAGAATAACAAGTCGCGCGATGCTGCAGGAATCGCAACTTTATCGGTGTGCGCATGCCATGTGTTAGTTGCAAACCGAGGTGAATCAAGTCTTGCGGTCTCACAGGGTGGACTCTGGGTATACTTGATGCACTATACACCCGCACATCACACAAGAACTTGCGCCAAGGATCCACAACGACCCCGTGGTAATGAAACTTGCGCAGCATTGTGTGTGTGTCTATCCATCTACTTATGGGTCAGTCTGTCTCTGTCTGTCTGCCCTCTCCTCATCGGGTGCGTCGGCAGAGACTGCTTTGGTGTCCCGCATGTACCTCCAGAATCCACACAAAGATTCAGGGAAGAGACCACAAGATGTGAGGCAAAAGAGGCTTATATACAAGACCCACCCACGTATCGCCACTTCGATGACCCTTAAGGAAGACAAAGGCAGACAATTATGGTGCCCGATGACCTTGCAAGAGTTTCAAGAGCCTTTAGAGCATTTAAGCAACAGCAATTTCGCCGAGCCCCCCGCCTGGCGATGTTGCTGTAAACCATGCTGCGATCTGTCTCCTTCAAGCAGTGAGAATCACCTTGGCTTTGCAAAAACGGTCCTCGATTCTCATTGCCTCTGAGTCTCTCTCTCCAACCCATCACAGCGAGCGATGCTGTCACCGCTGGCTCAGCAACGCCGTCTAGGACGAGAGGCCGTAGTGGAACGTTCGCACGTTCTCCCGCATCTGCCTCTCCTCTTTAGCCCACCTGAAGACTCACTCAACTCATTCTCAATGCTACTTGAGGCTGCGTGCTCGAAGGTGCGCCCAATATGCAGCAACACGACCATTCCGAATCCTAAGGGGTCTAAGGGGGAACAGCCCAACACAGGCATCGAAACCCCTGCCTGCGAAAGGCCCAGGTTACGACCAACAAAAGCGGCAAATCCTCGGTGCAGGAGCTATGAGGGTGTTCGTTTGTCACCCACCAGCTGACTCAGAGAGACGCACTACAGGGCATCACACACGTTACTGCTTCAACAAGGACTGTGGGGAGTTGAGGGCTTGGGGTTTCGGGCTTATAGGGTTTAGGGGCCCTAAGCCCCAAAGATGCGCAATGCAGGACATGCTATTGAGCCAGGGTTTATGGGGACCACCACGCCACTTGCCTCACTCATAAGCACATTGTTGGACAGAAGCCAAGGGCAACGCATACGCTTCGCACGATAAGGTTTGAGCATCACACGATAAGGTTTGAAATCGCAATCTTGGTGAAAGTAATCAGATATACGTAGTTTACCATTTGCTCGTATAGTGCTTAGTGCATTGGGATGCTGCAGAATGACTTGAAACGTCGAAGCTTAAAAGCCCAAAGCTGCACCTAAAGCCTGCTTGGTTACCCTTTCTGGGCTTGGTTGTTTCTTAAGGGAACCTTGAAGCCCAAAACAAGGGCCAAAAGAGCACCACTGGGCTACCAAGCCTAGACCCGAAGCCGACCAAGGCCAAACATGCGCATAAGCCAAGCAGCCAGCAGCAAGATGGCCAGCCGGGAGTCTGGAAACAGCTCTTCTATAGGCTGCTGGACCTGACTCGGGTGGTTTAGGGTGTAGGGTTTGCTCTAGGCCACGCTCCAGTCAAAGCACTCGGCCACTAGGACAGCAAAAGCTAGACATCACAGGTGGCATAGGAGTGTATCTAGAGTCTGGAGCCTTTAGTCGAGCACCGGCCAGCGGCACCTAGACTTCCTTCTGCCTTGCTTACACACTGCTTTCTCATTCCACAGCTCGCGAAAGCCCACATTGGCCCATTTTTTCACATGTTCAGATGCGCGACGTCCTCCACCAGCAGCAGTTGCACCCAGATGCAGTGCAGGGCCACGGTGGGTACCGCGAGGATGGTACAGCGGATCAGGAAAGTCGGGAGCACCACTAACCTACACTCCCCTCAGAGCCTTAACAAAGACAATATTTTCAATATCCTCTTGGGTTTTATCTAAACAAATAGTTTTATATCCTCTTGGGATTTTATGTAAACAAAAATAAATAAAAAAAATTCCCAAGGGGGATATAGCAGCCGGCTCGGCCCCCGCTTGGGAAGGAAGGTGGCCAGCTCGTACATCGTCCAAAGCCTCCGGAACCAGCAGCTGAAGCTTTGCCCCAAAAGAGCCCCCGACCCCTTAAGTCAGGAACATACCGGGTTTAGGGTTTAGGGTTAAGGAGGGTTTAGGGTTTAGGGTTTAGGGTATAATTAAAGAGGGATCTCTAGTTTGTGATTCAAGGCATATTTCTTAATTAAGGGGTATGGGGCTCGCTGGGTGAGCGGGCTCCGATGGCATTTTAGAAGTCTTCGGGCGGGCTTGAGCTTGTGCTTGGCGAGTTAGGGGTCTCAGGGTTTAGGGTTTAGGGTTTAGGGTTCAGGCTTCAGGGTTTCCTTTTTTGCCACCCGTCTAGCCATGCTCCGCGGGGCAACTGAAGGGTTTAGGGTTTAGTGTTTCGGGTTTAGGGTATTGGAGGCAAGAAGCACAAAGCAACGGTGAACAAATTCCGAACCCCTGTTTGACCCTTTTGCCTGAGCCCCAACATTCCCGTCCACCCCACAACAAGTCTTCCCACCACCGCGGCCTTAACCCTAACACCCTAAACCCTAAACCCTAAACCCTAAACCCTAAACCCTAAACCCCCAACAACTTGGGCACAGAGGAGCTTCTTGGTATAAAGCTCCGAGTAGACCACGAGCATCCTTTCGTGCCCATGAGGAAGCTTTTTGCATTGCTTTAGGGTTCAGGGTTTAGGGTTTAGGGTTTAGGGTTTAGGGTTAAGGGTTTAGGGTTTAGGGTTTCGGGATTTGCTTATTGTTGTTGTTCAAGGTTGTGGGGCCTTTGTCGAGTTTAGGGTAGTTCCTATCAAACCCTAAACCCTAAACCCTAAACCCTAAACCCTAAACCCTAAACCGCCTAAACCTTTTTTGAACCCTGGCTCTCTGAGGTGCCGGCACTGGAGCAGAGGATTCTTTAAACCCTAAAGCCTAAACCCTAAGCCCTCAACCCTAAACTTTTTTTGACCCCGCGAGCTCTGCCCTCAACGCTAAACCCTAAACCCTAAACCCTAAATCCTAAACCCTAAAACCTACCAGCAAAAGACCAATAGATCTCTCTGTCGGCTAAGCATCTGGTCCGACAGCTGAAGGAAGATATCCAGATTCTCGATCCCCTGCTGCTTGAGCTCCTTTCCGGTTTAGGGTTTGGGGTTTAGGGTTTAGGGTTTTAGGGTTTTGGGGTTTTTGGGTTTAGGGTTTAGGGGCCGGCTGGGAACCTGGCGCACCTGGTGGGGGGTAGTGAGCCACTTCCCTACAGTCGGACCACGCAAACGTTCGCGCAAGCGAGAGCTGGACCTACCATTTGCTTAAGAACCCCAAATGAATAAAAAAACGAATAGTCCTTATCTTACCCTAAACCCCAAATGAGTTTTTGTAAAAAAAAACCTTACATTACCCTTAATCAGCAAGAATATTTTCTAATTTCTTCGGTGTTCTTAAGCAATGAGTAGGGACAGCACTGGTCCACGCTCGCTTAAAAACGCTCAACCCCGCACCCCCAACCTTGGTAAGCTCCGGTCTCAAGGGCTTGAAAATTAGGGCTTGGGGTTTAGGGTTTAGGGTTTAGGGGAAAGCCCATAAAGGTTGGTTTCTGCTTACTGCATTGGCTTGTTTCTGACGGTGTAGGGAACTGGAGACTTCGGTTGTCCGGTAGAGCCCCGTGACTGCACTTTGTCTTCGAGCCCTAGCAGGAGCAATAGTTCAACATCCTCTAGGGCTTTATATAGTAAACGACACCAGTGAAACATCGCATACATCCCTTTCTCGACTTTTCCTACAGGAACCCTCCAGTCCTCGTCGGTTTGATGGATGCAGCAGCGGTCGAGAAACACCCGCTTCCCGCGACGGAAGCAGAGGGCCTTGACATCATGCCAGCAAAGCAGGAAGAGCCTCAGATGAGATGGCCGGCTCCGAGGGCACTCCTTAAGAATATGGGGGGGGTTTACGATCTTAGGGGTACCTTATTGGGGTCCTCATGATAAGGGGATCCTTGGGGTGCCTTATTATCGTAAGCCCCCATATGCATGCCAGCTGGCCAGTACGTCACCACGCACACGCCAGTCCCCACATGGCTTCTGAAGTACAGGTCGTCGACACCTTCGTGTGCTTTCGCGTGCAGCATCACCAGCCTCAGTGGGTGGTTTAGGGTTTAGGGTTTACGGGTTAGGGTTTAGGGATTTAGGGCCATCCCTAAGGTCACCCCGGCAAACTGGGCACATCCCTTAACCCCCCCCCGGCCCGGCACCAAGCAGCTTTAGCACTCCGCAGTGGCTGTCGAAAGCCGGATAAAGGCGAGATGTGTGCAGGTGTACAATCGCATTGTCACATGGCACTCATACTCACGCTTGACTCATATGTACAAAATCCCGAAGGGATAGCATCTTCTTTTGCTAATCCCCCAGACGACTCAGACCTGCTCCAGCCAAACCCTAAACCCTAAACCCTAAACCCTTTTACCCTGAACCCTAAACCCTAAGATCTGCTTTGAGACCAGGCCGCAGAACAGCCAGTATGTAGGCCAGTGCAGCGGCCACCGAGGCCGCCTGGTGGCCGAAATATCCGAAGAGCCCATCACCCCTGTAGGGTTTAGGGTATGTACCTTTAAAATTGTATAGGGATCCTTAGTATGATTTAAGGTGTATTTGTCCCTGATTAAGGGGTGTAGGGATCAAGCTGTAGCTACTTGTGCTGCTCTTGTTGATGCTGCTGCTGCTGTTGATGCTGCTGCTGCTGCTGCTGCTGCTGCTGCTGCTGCTGCTGCTGCTGCTGCTGTCGTCATCGCACTCGTTGTCGTCATTCTGTTGCCAGGGCGTGCTTCAAGGTTGAGGGTAACCGTGCTTGAGACTGATTTTGGGTGGGAGACTCCAAACTGGTCAAACGTCGAAGGCAGCTTTAAGTAAAGCTTCCTCTTGCAAGTATTGCTGCAGGAGCTATGTTGTGCTCTTCGAGGCGACCCTGAACCCAACATCCCACAGTGCCTTGTGGTTGAAGTGAAAGGCCAACGCCTGCACAGGGACATTTCTTGAAAAGGTGTGCTCCGAAACCTGCTCCCAAAACGACCCGAGCTGTAGTGATGACATAGGCCTTAAAAGCGACGAAGGCCACCCGCCTACGCCTTAGCGTTTTGGGCTTAGGGTTCGAAATCCAAAGCCGCATCTGAGCAGTTTTTTTTTTTTTTTTGTTTTGTGTGGGGTGTTGTAATGGCATGGGTATCCTACGCGGGCCTACGCGTCAGCTCATGTTTAGTAGGCGCGCGACCTACGCGCGGAGTATGTTGTTGACGTGTGCCTACGCGGACCTACGCGGCAAGCACAGACAACCTACGCGGACCTACGCGCCCATACTGCATAGACTTGCCTACGCGGACCCTGCGCAAACCTACGCCCTGCAGGCAAAATGCTACGCGGCCGACTTTCAATGATCGCGTCTCTACGTAGCCTTGCTCCTAGAAAAAAAACGCTGAGCCCAGCACCAGAAACTTCAGCCATTGAGGCATGGCCCAGTTGTAAGAGATGAAGACGTGTAGCTTGTGCGTGACATCCGACAGCGTGAAGGTGTCAAAGTCCCCCGGGTAGTCCCGAAACACCTCAGGGTGTTCTGGTCCGAGCAACATGTGGGCTTAAATGTTTACATTATATTATACCATTATAGTATTGGTTATACGGTTTAAAGGTTACGGATTAAGTTTAGGATGCGTAGGGCTTAGGGTTTAGGACCTTTTGGGGTTCTGGCTCCGATAATTTGGTCGGGGAGGCACCCCTTCAGCCCTTTGACCAGCAAACCACTTCAAAACTTGGACCATATACATTCGCAGACCCTATCTTGATTCATACAAAACTTGGACTCGATACATTCCTAGACCCTAGCCTATCTTCATTCACACAAACCCGTCCCGGGACTCCGGGCCCTGCCAAAGCATCTCAGCACCGTGAAGTCTGGCGTGCTGCGAAGAAGCCTGAGCGCTCAGACGCTTGCCCAAAACCCTCTAAGACAGCGCTAAACCCTAAACCCTAAGCCATAAACCCTAAACCCTAAACCCCTAACCCCTAAACCCTAAACCCTATACTTGTAAACCCCAAACCCTATACACCCGCCGGGCTGCCCGAAGGAGCTAAGCCCCCTCGGGTCATCCTAAGGATTGCGGGCCTGGAGCCGTCGGGCAGGTATACTATATGGGTCGGAATATGTACTATTATCGTCCTCATATTAAGTAATTATTCAGGCCTCTTGCAGGGTTTAGATGACGGCTTAGAGTCCCTTGTTTGCTCACAGAAAACAAAGTACCTCTGGGGCTCCTGGTTATGAGGGGAGTGCGGGCATTAATCCGTCTCTGTTGAAGTCTTCTGCACTTGGGGCGCCTTTGAGCCATGCTACGACTGGAAACAGACCAGAAGCGGATCCAATGAACCCGACTCTGAACCGTTGTGGCTTTGCTACCTATCATCAAATTCTCAAGTGCAGGCGGCCTCTCGTTTGTCATGATCAGGCTCCGCCATCTGACCTGTTAGGCCATGCTGACAGCCACGTCCCGCAACTGGTGTAAGGAGACTGGGTGCACGGGTTCGGGAATTGGGGATGGGATGCTCTACTTGGCTCCAAAAACTGGAGCCAAGGCTTTTGTGTTGGAGTTTGGGAGGTCTACGGCATGTAAAATTTGGCGGGTTGCCAATGAGAACCTCTGAAAGCAGTCCAACACCTTGAAAGAGGTGAGCTTCCCAGGGGAGGCCGCTGGATTCAGGTCCGGCCCTCCTCATCCCCAAAAAACACAAACCTACTCAAAATGAGCTGAGACTATATATATATGTATATATACATATATATATATAATAAGAGTGTTGTCCTCTCAAAACTTCCCAAAGCAGATGCTTGCATCCCAGAGCGAACATATGCTCCCCAGGCAGAGAACCCGAAAGACGAGGGCCTTGTGCGGCTCGGTTTCCGAATCATCCGGCGAGGCCTGGCAGGAGGCTCTGAGTGAGGATGTTGGTTCCCAGGTCGTCCATATGCCTCGTCTCTGCCCGGCGTCAATGTTGCCAATTGATAATGGATCTTCCACCTATGTCTCATGTTCGACTTGAATGTCGTGAGTCTATCTGGTTCAGCTGACAGTGTACACTAGGGTTTAGGGTTTAGGATTTAGGGTTCAGGGCACCACACCACATATGGGCATCTCCTAAAATAGGGATCATTCTGACATACCCCAAAGCTGTCCATCCAAGTTGTTAGGAACCCCGAGAACAAGGTACACCGATAAATTAGCGGAAACCCCCACGTACTTCCTTTTTGTTGCAGAAGGTCTCCCCATCAAAGCGTATCCCCGTCCCGGCCCTGCACCAGTTCTCCAGTAATTATACCTAGACCCGGGAGTAACCTAGGAATGAAAAGGGTACCCTTTTTGGTTTTAAGGGGATTATAAGGGAACCCCAACCCTAAAAAAAGGAAAAAAGGGCCTACTCCGGTCCAAGATCCTTTATAGGGTTGAGGGTTTTAAGGTGAACGCCCCCCCGGCTCCAATCGGAGTACATATTTTGAAAGATCCTTGAGGTAGTATAAGGGCCATACTAGGAGTAAATTTAGGGGGAACCTTTAGGGGTACAACCTTAGGGGGTAAGGGTCTTCGTCCCTTGAGTCTCCGTGTAGGTCCTTAACGTGCAACGTAAGATCTGCTCGCGGAGGAGGTACGGTGCAAGCCCTTCTTCTGCAAAGAGCCCTATACCCCTTAAATAACGAATATACCTTAAACCATATGAAGGATCCTTACATCATTTAAGGTATTATCCCTTAACTAATTATAAGGGTATTAGGCACTCTGGGTCGTTTTGTCTACAGAGCCCAAACCCTGCTGCCAAGCGCAGGATAGTTTGGACAACTTCGGGATCAGCGTTACAATGGCAGCTTTTGGGAAAACACGTGGGGTCTTTAATTCTCCCCCCCTCTCTCTCTCCCTCTCCCTCTCTCTCTCTCTCCCTCTCCCTCTCTCCCTCTCCCTCTCTCTCTCTCTCTCTCTGCACGCTTAGCCCCCCCCGAAGGGAGAGCTGCCCCGAGGGGCCCTCTCTCTCTCTCTCTCTCGACTTGCACACGCTGTATACAAGGAATATACAAGAATAGAAGGGCCCTGATGCCACCACTGTTATGAAGCGCACCCCAGGATGACCCAGGGAAGCGCCTGACGGCAATGACCGCTTCGGGACGAACCTGCCGAGAAGGGAGTTTAGGGTTTAGGATTTAGGGTTCAGGGTTTAGGGACTCGGGGAGGGGTTTTACGGTAGAGCGGTACCGGTACTGCAATCGGACTGCAAGGGCTTCTTCTAGCCGAGCCTTTTAAGGCATACCTGTAAACATCCTCACGTGCAGAGGCAAACTTGTCCAAGAGTTGTCTGCTGTCCTGCTGCCAACTGCGTGTCCCCTGGGCCTGCGATGGACACGCTCTTGGCCGCCATGCTTGTTGAGCATCGGGGCACGCAGAGCTTCTCTGTGTGAGTTTAGGGTGTAGGGTTTCGGGTGGAATTGAATTGTGTCGGTGCGGATGCAGGTTGTCTTGGCGGATACGGTGGATGTGGTGCAGGTACTCTACGTATATGTGCAAGGCAAATTCGTCACGAAGCTGAGGAGAAAGATGCGCCTGACTGTGGATTCCACAAGACCATCACACTGAGTGATGTTGATGTCTTAAACACAGTGGAGACACTCCCTCAACGTTTCGCAGGGCCGAAATGCTGCAGAGACGTCGTCGCTGCACATTATTGAATGACGGTGACTGTTAAAAATACGGGCGTCTCAACAGATGAAGCCAATATGAATTATCAGGACTACCTGGGAGAGAGTGGGTCGGCCCCCCTCAACCCCCAACACCCGAAATGTTAGCCCTTCTAACACAACCCTAAACCCTAAACCCTAAACTTAGGGTTTAGTTTAGGGTTTAGGGTTTAGGGTTTAGGGTTTAGGGTTCTTTAAACCCTAAACCCTAAACCTGTTGAAGTTGTCGAAGTACGGGGCAGTAGCGGCATCGTCTGCGCCTCATGGTGGTGAGCTCCCTGGCCTCTTAACTTGACATCCATGAGGATGAGCTGTAGCTCCAAAACTTCCGTTTGCATATTTGCCTCATCTATTCCGCGAGCAAGTACAACTGCTCTCAGAATTCTGTCCCTTCACTGCGAAAAACTCGTCTCTTGTAACCGGGGTCGAGAGAGCCGCCGCCGAGTGCATACTCTGCAGTATCTTTGGCAGAGAAAACTATAGCTAAAAGTAACCGATTCATCGGAGGTGACCTCGCAAGGAAAACCTGCAGGGGTGCTGACGAGTGCACAGGGCACAAGCTTGCAGTGTGTCTGCGTGTTTGTTTGTATGTGTGTGTGTGTGCAACGTTGCCAGCTGCACAGGCTTTGAGCCTATTGTCGTCGCAAGTGCCCGTGAGGACTGAGGCTCTGAAGTTTGCGTCAACATCTTCGTGCTTATAGCCTATATAACAACCCTGGAATAAGACGTCCTCCCAAGTTCCCCCCATAAGACTTTAAGATCCTCCTGGATGCTGCATGGAGTGTGCGCACGCAGTACAGTGCCCTACGTAACTTGGCTGCACTTAGCAGGGTAGCCATAAATTTAATTTTTAGCTACCTTATTCAGAAACCCAATAAACCCAAAAAAGCTCAGATCTAAAGTTACAGCAAAGCAACACAGAAGTAGTGGAGAATCCATGCTGACATACACTCACGGCATGCTGGGACTGACGGCTTCAACTGGCTGCATACTGCAAGCTGGGGACCATTGACAGGTAAGGATTTTGGCGGGGCAATGCTGGGACTGGGATATCATTGGCATCTAGCCGCATGTGGCCCGATGCCACGCGTGTGGCCGCTAGAAGACTACATGCTGAACAAATACAGTAGCGACCCAGGTTGCACAGCCGCAGCTAAGGCATCTTTAGCACGCTTGCAAGTCGTGTCCTCAAGAAGGCTGGATTCTGCAAGAAAAAAGCAAACCCTGAACCCCAAACCCCAAACCCTAAACCCTAACCCCTATGCCCTAAGCCCTAAACCCTGGCCAGGCCTGGTCAGCGTGTTTTCGCCCTCAGCTTTGTCATGCGAGCCTCCAGCCACTCCTGCGTGGTGGCTCCAGTTCTGGGGTGGAAGCGGCAATGACTAATAAATGAATAAAAACGTATGATAATTCTTATCAATATTATTACCATGTATTTTACTATATTCAACTGCATTACTATAATCATGTAGCCAAGATATACATGTATATATATATATATATATATATATACATATGGCCTAATCGTCCAGGTTCCGCTGTTCGAGCCCTTCCCAACCCCAGTCATGTCTTGTAGCGTCCAAAAACCGAGTCCATGAAGTCCAAGGCGCCAATCCCGCATGGACCAACGTGCCCTCGGCCGAGACCAGCTTCACAGCTTCTTCAGATAGGACATCATTGGCCTTCAGCCATGAAGTGTAAGTGTAAGTGTTAAAGTGTAAGTGTTAAAGTGTAAGTGTTAAAGTGTAAGTGTATGTGTAAGTATAAGTATAAGTAGAAGTATAAGTGTAAGTGTAAGTGTGTGCGTGTGTGAAAATGTAGTGCTCAAACGTACGTGCATACAGGATCCACGCGTTTTGGGTTTATTACGTCTGGCAGTCGATATCTGCTTCTACGTGAGGTACCGAGCGCTCGCCATGCAAGACATCCTGTGAAGTTTGAGCCATAGGCCCTCAGAGCATGAAGGTGCTTACCACAGGGAATCGCCAAGAGGACCCTTTTTTTCCGGCCAAAAGGACCCTAAACCCTAAACCCTTTGCAACCCCTAAACCCCAAACCCAAACTTGCCTCGGCCAGCGCCTTGAGGCCAGGCTCCGCATTGTACCGGTGCGCCTCGAGCCACATCTTCGCCTGGGCACAGGCCTTCAACCTTGGCTGCGCTCATGCAAGACTAGAGCAGGGTTTAGGGTTTAGGGTTTAGGCCCCAAATGAGGGTCCCTATTTCAGACGGTTCCTATAGTAAGGCCTATAAGCCTATAAACCATTTTTGGGAATACGACGGACGGGCAGCTCTACTTCGGGAATACCCAGAGTCTCACACCAACGCGCCATTCTATTCCGAAAGGGATGGAATTCTGGATGGGGCGTCTCAGAGTTCCTAAGCTTCCTCCCTCCCTTGACATGCCAGGTCTTTTGTGGATGTGCCTGCAGCTGCAGAGTTGCCCCCAAGGGTTTAGGGTTTAGGGTTTAGGGTTTAGGGTTTAGGGTTTAGGGTTTAGGGTTTAGGGTTTAGGGTTTAGGGTTTAGGGTTAGCAGCAAGCGGAAAAGATGCACGCACACAACTGTTCATCAACCGAGGCACTCTTCTTCATTTGGCAGCTCCTGTCCAACACTTCGTCCAAAAGCCCCACACCCTCTTGTTCAAGGAGAAAAAGACTCCCTTAATCTGTGTTTTGTGCAAGCAATACTTGAGCTGCCTTTCCAGATTGCTGAGCACAATCCGCCTACAAGTTCCAACTTGCAGCTTCAGGTTTCCTACCACGGAGCAAGAGTTTGGGAATCCTCAACCCCAAACCCTAAACCCGAAGACAACATCATCTCTCCCCCATAAAACTACTGGCTCCTCCCAGGTGTCCAAAAGCTGGGAGGCCGCAGCCGTCACCTCCTTTACGTTTAGGGTTTAGGGTTTAGGGTTTAGGGTTTAGGGTTTAGGGTTTAGGGTTTAGGGTTTAGGGTTTAGGGTTTAGGGTTTAGGGTTTAGGGTTTAGGGTTTAGGGTTTAGGGTTTAGGGTTTAGGGTTTAGGGTTTAGGGTTTGGGGTTTAGGGTTTAGGGTTGTGGAGTTCTGGGGTTCTCGGGGATGGGTGGCGTAAGGTTTTTTTGCCACCCGCCTAGCTGATGGTAACATCGCACTGCAGGGAAGGGTTTAGGGTTTTAGTTTAGGGTGGACATCATAAGGTCTGGACAAGCTTCAATTCCCATCCTCGATCACCATTTCGGCCAAGCTGCCTCCTCCGAGCGCAGCTGTGACAGGCGCGCCTGGGCAGTATTATAGGCCATATGACCCCAATTTTAGGGTTCATTTCGTCCCCAGGGTAGTCTTGTCTTTCAAAAGAGTCGCGAGAAAGCAAAAACATACAGTAAAATGCTTAACCCCAGGGCCGGGGTCTATCAGGTCGGGGCTGCTGAGGGCAGCAAGAGTTCTAGCCGTACTTTGCATAAACACCCCTTTGGACCCTGAAGGGGTCAGGGGTCAGGGTTTCAGAAGCCTGCTTTCACTCTGCCTCCGGACTTCCGAGGGCTTTTGCAGCGTTTCCAAGCGCCCAGGAACTGGAAATGAGTGTTTTTTGGCCACCATCGGGAGGGTTGCTTACCCTAAACCCTAAACCCTTGTTGGGGCATGAGGGAACTTACTCGCAGGAGCCGAGGCGCCACAGGCAACAGCAGGCTGCTACCAACATTGCCGAAAAGCCGCAGCAGCAGGGGCCGCCCCCTGCCTGCACGGATGCTATTGCCGGATGGACTTTGGGTCCTGATTCTGGGCTCGACTAGTGACATCTAGTTTCTGCTCCCAAAGAGCCGAATGATTACCCCTTAATTAAGGATATACCTTAGATCATATTAAGGACCGTATATAGTTTAAGGTATCATCCTGACTTAAGGGATATTGGGCTTTTTGGGCGTTTACAGATTCTGTAAGGCTTGATAGATGTTGTGGGTTTGGGACACGCAGCCTCCCGAACCCCGAAGAGGTTCTCATGCACTATAGGGCGGTTCATGATCAAAAGAAGGTGCGTTGGTAACTTGAGTTGGCAGCGCAAAAATTGAAAACGCATCGTGCGCACGGACCTTTCCCACGAGTCCTCTAGCAGTGCTAGTGCGAGCACACCCAAAAGGTAGGAAGAACCCACCTTCTTGAGCTCAGGGTATCTTGCTCGCCCCACGCCCTAAACCCTAAACCCTTATTTTTTACGGCTAGGCCTTCTGCGCTGCCTGCCTAAACCCTAAACCATAAACCCCTAAACCCCTAACCCATAAACCCGTAAACCCCTGAACCCCTAAACCCCTAAACCAAAGAACCCAAACCTACGGAGAGCACTCGGACTGGGGCTCCGACGAGCACCGCGCCCCAAGCCGCGTGCGGCCAGGGCCTCTGTACCCAAAGAACCCACTACTTGGAGGGTTTGGGGTTTAGGGTTTGAGGTTTAGGGTTTAGGGTTAAGGGTTCAGGGTACTTACTAATCCAATACTAGCTGTACTTAGAACATAACCATATTAGAGCACTTAAGGGGCTTAATATAAGTGGGTTAGAAGCACTGTTATTATTGGTTAAGAAGTACCATGAGCCTTCAAGTATCCCTTCATTAAGGACTCTAAATATAGGCTGGGATGTTCACCCTTATACTAGCAGTGCTTGATAGGGATTCATTCTAATCCATATTATGGACTGTTAGTACAAGTGGGTGC